GAATCTCCTTATCTGTTTCTTACGGAATCAACGCTTTTAATACTAACAATAAGCATCGTTATGAAAGTTCACGAAATCGGAAGATTTGAAAAAACCGAGCACTGAATAAAATTGATTACCTTTTTCTCACGGTGATCATTTCTTCTTACGTTTATTGAACCTTTTACGTCATTTCGAATAAATTTTCATTGTGTAATCCACTGCTCGAATTTTATAACTAATTTAAATAAAAACAGTTTGACGAATGTCTGTGTAAATGTAAATTTAATAAATGCTTGAACAATTAAGTTATAACAATTCACAATAAACAATTAAATGTAACAATTCTCTTTTCTCCGCTATTATTTAATCTCGTTCTTTTTAAATATTTATCTGAATGTCGAAACGAACAAACGGTTACTGTTAAATATTTTTTTTTCAATTTTCTAACTTCTTTTTACTGGAAGGCATTTAAATGTAACCTTTAAAATATTTGAAATATTTTGTTTCAATTTTCCAACTGCTATTTGCTGAAAGATATTGAAATTATCGGTTCAACTGTATTTTAAATATTTTGTTTCTATTTTTTAATAAGTAGATTGCTGAAAGTCATTCAAATCATCAGTTCAATTGTACTATTGTATGTAGTGGCATTTAAATTTTCAGCAGTAATGATCCATTGATTTCTATAGGTACATATAATAATTACGTTATAATCCTACTCGTATTTATGATTATTGGAATGATTTGAACGTTTTCCTGCATTTTGAACGTACATATACATATTTACCTTCACTGCACACTTGCGTTTCTCAACCCATTACTTGCTTCAGTCGAATTTACATCTCAAAAGCTGCATTTCTATGCTGGAAATACACGAAAAATACTATACAGGGTGTCCCGTAACTCCTCGAACACCCGGAAATGGGGGATTGCTGGGGTGACTCTGAACAACTTTTTCCTTTTACAAAATACAATTTGAAGCTTCGTTTTTGAATTATTAACGAAGAACACTGGCCAATTACAGCGCGCGTAGAGCCCGCGCTCAGGAGCGGAGAACTCCCGCCAAGTGCAAGAAGGCACGCTGATTGGTTTTTCACGTACGCACGTCAACTTGAGTGTCACCCACCCTTCCACTGCGTCCTTAGCGCGCTTTTCCTTGGAAGGAGTGGGGCCCTACCTGCGGGTGCGTGGAATCTTCGCTGTCCTTCGGTGGAAATTCCCGCCAGGTCAACCCTCGGCCGAGAGTGCTGTTATACGCGCGTGTGGATTGACCCTTCAGGAACCCTGGTTTATAACACGTCTTCGGTTATCGAGGACGCGGAAAAGTCGAAATTCTAAAGGCATTGTTCTGTACGAAATTACGTATTTTTTCGCGGAGCTACGAAGCGTCTTTGTTCTCAAGAATAACCTTCTCGTGCGAGCGTGCCGTAAACCCGGTCAACGAAGACCCCACGCGTTCCGTACCTGCGCGACGGAACAATTTTCATAAATCGTGCCCTGCTTTCCATAGCAACCAAAAAAAAAAAAAAGAAAAAAGAAAGAGAAAAATTCATTTGATAGATGTTATTGTCGAATATCCAATTAAAATAAAATTAATCGCTCAGATTGGTTGGTTCTCAACCCTTTTCCTGGTGCTTTTCTGTTTCAGTTGTGTGCGGCGTCGGGGCGGATGTGGCGTACCGTCAGCACACCATGGGGTTTTACGTTACGTGAGGATAATTCAACATGCGTATACCGTAATTCAACTCAATTATCAGATTCCAAGGACCAAGTATCGAAGCAAAAAGAAAAATTTTTACTCGATGTATTTTATTTTTCAACATTCCTTTTTTTTTCTTTATTCGGGTGAAAATGTTACGCGCGATATTAGGAGTTATGGCAATGGTAAAACATTCGGGACGTTGTTTCGATTATTAGATAGTTCGGGTAATTTATTTATTTACCTGTTTGTTTTAATCTTCTAAAATTCTGTGAAGAATCGCCGAATCTTAACTTGGTGTATTTTATTCTTTAAAATTCTTCTTTATCGGGGTAAAAGTGTTAAACGCGATATTAAGTCGTTTCATGGTGAAAAGAAATTCGGGACGTTGTTCTGATTGTTAGATCGTTGGAGTAATTTGTACTTGATGTGTTTCATTTTTGTAAATTATACTTTTGCTGGAGTGAAAATGTTACACGCGATGTTAAATTGTACACGCTCGAAAATTCTGAAATTGTTTGAGTAACAGGATACGCGAGCAGTTGATAAAGAGCTTGAGAATATGAATGATACTTGACATGGTGGAATAACAAAATACAGTGCAGATTCAAATTATGTAGAAATATGTATGTAACGAAGAGGTATCAAAAACAATGGTTTCTTTCTTTAAATTAATAATTTAAAGTCGCGTCAACATCTTGGTTATTAGCGACTATAGTTGACAGTTACTCCGTATTTCTCAATAAAGGTTTATTCTACGGATAAGTTGGATTACTTCCGCGAAGTTTCCTTCCGTTTCAAATATTTCTTCAATTTTGTCAGGTATTTCGAGCTCAGTTCTGGTGTCTTCTGTGCTCTCGCAGTCTAATAGAATATGTTTGATGGTTATGTTGGAATTGCTTTGTTTAGAATGTAGTTATTAATTGTTTTTATTTACTTAAATGGGCAAACCACCCTGAGGCTTGTAAAAATAGGTAAAAGTTTAGGAATTTCTTTTGAGAAGTTTCAATTTTCTCAGAGGATATAAATGTAATTTTCAGCTTTCTTCTTGAATTTTTAAAAAGTAAACATATTACAAAATAAGTCCCATCGACTTACTAGCCATTAGCGGCCATAAAAGGTTACAGAAGAAACAATTGTACATACATAATGTGCGGTATGTAAATAATTCGCATGTATTAAATGTCTTCAGTCAGATTGAACTTCTTAAGGTAATTAATTAAACTTTCAATATGTTTCTTACTGTTTAAACATTTTCTCATGGTCGTAGGTATTTAGTTATTCTTCTTCGCGTATATTTCTGTGTATTGGACCGAATGTGTAGCTTTAGTGCGTCCAGTTATTAGTCTGTTAATTATTATTCAAAAAAAAGCAAAATTTTTAAATGCAACCGCCTTAAAAATTTTAAATGTAGGAGGAGTTCCCTTAACGCCGGACGGCACCTAACATCGCATCTACACAGGTAGAGAGATTTATTTAAGAAATACCTTAAGTATCCGGTGCTTTTCAATATGTTTCTTACTGTTTAAACATTTTCTCATGGTCGTAGGTATTTAGTTATTCTTCTTCGCGTATATTTCTGTGTATTGGACCGAATGTGTAGCTTTAGTGCGTCCAGTTATTAGTCTGTTAATTATTATTCAAAAAAAAGCAAAATTTTTAAATGCAACCGCCTTAAAAATTTAAAATGTAGGAGGAGTTCCCTTAACGCCGGACGGCACCTAACATCGGACATTAGTTATATCTGCGTATCTCCTAGAGGAGACAAAAGGAATAAAAATAAGTTTTCTACGCGTTTCAGTCGCGTGTGCACAGGTAGAGAGATTTATTTAAGAAATACCTTAAGTATCCGGTGCAAGGGGAACTCCCCCTATGTGTTTTTCAAGTGAAATTATGTTCATTTTCTTCTTATGTAATATATGGTAATAGTATTACAGAACACTCAAGTTGCATTTTTTAATATAATTCTGTAGTATCGGGGCCTCCATACCCAAAAAATAGGAAACCGACAAGGGAGAATAGAGAAGGAGTGGTTGGCGTAGCGCGCAAAGCCTCTCGAAGGGCTTGCTGCTCGAGGTAGGAATTTCCGCTGGCCAGATCTTCTCTCTTGACGGAGAGGAGGAGGAAGAGCAATTTATCGTTAAAATAATGCTTCTGTGGTACGATCTTTGGTTAGACTGTTTGGGTGTGTACAGTGGGAGTGTATACAGGGTGGGGGGAAAATTGTGGCACTGGTTTTCGAATAATTTTGTGGAATTGTGTCCTGTGGATGGAAAATTTAATGTTGCAGTATCGGGCCTCCATAGCCAAATAGGAAACCGACCAGGAGGGAAAGGAGTTGTTGGCATAGCGCGCAAAGCCTCGGCTTGCTAAGCCGAAGGGTCCTGGGTTCGATTCCCGTTTGGGTCCCTCAATATTTTTCCGTCGTCGGTTCCTACATATGGGGGCTCGTCCGGGATGAAGGCATCTACGGCTACACGAAGCCAGGAGGGGTGCGATGAAAACATGTTGAGGGTTGCACGTCTCCCAAAAATGCGTTGTTTCGGCTGTGTGCCACTGTGTGGGGGATAGTGTACCCCAAAGTGTTGAGTTGAGTTTGTGTTGCACTGAGGACATTTGAGGGCGAATGTCAGTTCAGGATGGCCGAGTGTAGTATCGGGGGCCTCTCTATGCCCAAAAAATAGGAAACCGACATGGGAGAATATAGAGGGAGTGGTTGGCGTAGCGCGCAAAGCCTCGGCTTGCTAAGCCAAAGGTCCCGGGTTCGATTCCCGTTGTGTCCCTCCTACAGTGTCGGTTCCTACAATTCTTATTTACACTTTTGTATTACTGTCACTGTTCACGTTGTTAGTTAGAATTAATAACTTTGCATTAACAGTGTTATAAGTGGAAAATAATCGAGAAAGAAATAGGACATCCAAGATTTATCACAGAATAATTTATCTTGAGAGAATGACTTTTGAAAAAAAATTGCCTCGAACCTTTATTCCTCGTATCTCTTCTTTTTAGCACTTGCTCCTATCTTTAACGAAGAAGTTAATTAGGTGCTCTACTACTAGATTACTGTGTGTTAAATTACCCCAAGTTCCTGTGTTCAAGACTACAATTACAATGATGGCAAAACTAACTTGAACAGAATGTCGAAAGTCGTGTTACTAAAGATATTCAAATTATTAATAAATTTACAAATGTTAATAATTAATCTCTCGTTAAGAAATTAATTTCTGTTCGAATGAATCATTTTTACACTCTATACGCTAAATGAGTTTGGCATTAAGAAGATAATGCTTTATTAATAACAATTGCAGATTCGTTTATTTAAAATCGAAAACACATCGTGTAAATTCTATCCTTTTTCCTGTCTGATTAAGATCATAATTCGAATTAACTCTTGTTACTTGATTGTATCAGTTTCAAAATTTTATAGATCTCACATGAAAAGAAAAAATTTGTTGTTTATTAGGTTGGTGCATATGAAACTTTAGATACGTTGTATTTTTCCAAAAGATAACGTAATTGAACGAAATAATTTGCACACGATTCTATATAATTTCCCAGCGATGAACTATTTTCATTATTGTAAATTTAATAAAATTATTAGTCTGAATGAAAACACTCTTCGAATGCTGCTTTTACAGTGTCTTCATTTCGGAATAATTTATTTGTTAAAAAATTGTTCAGGTGTTTGAAGAAATGGTAGTGAATAGAGGAGGATGTGACAAAATTTCATATTTTTTACCGTGAATTATTTTCAATCATTTCTTTTAAAGCGTTACCATCGAAGACGACTCTCTTGGCTCATTTTCCAATGAAAAGACGCCAATTTTGAATTTTGCACACGAACCTTGAAGTGCTCTAAAATTTACCTAACTTTCTTCAAATGCTAAATTTATATTTTCAGCAGTTTTTATCGCAATTTTTCCACCCTTAAACTTATAAAAAATAATTACGCAAATATCCCGATTATTCTACGCGGCAGATAATAATTACAAGTTTTTTAAATATTCAATACTCATGTGATACAGCAGATTCCTTCTTCTCGACTGCTCTCTATAAAAATTGACGATCACGGAAAATTTAATACACGGTATCGGCAAATTTCACTTATTGAAAAAAACGACGTTTCATTTGCGCCAATCCGATACAAGAACAAGAAACTTGAACGTTTAAATTTCTGTTCCTGAACGAACGTCTAATTAAATATCGATTGCAAGAGAAGAAGTCGGGACGACGAAAAGCTGAGGATACTCCCTGCCATTTTTCCACAATACAGTTGATAGTCGCAAATCGAATCGGCCTTGGGGAAAAATCTAATTTCAGGAAACGATTTCATTAGCGGCAAACGGAAGTTTTTACCAGCGGAAGCTGCCAGCAACAAGGTTACTGGGGTTGGCTTGGTTGCCGCCCGACGATTACCGAAATATTTCGATATCCCGTCCAGCCTGCCGTTTTTCCGCTCGCGTCCTTGCGACATCGATCGTAAAGAGCATCTTCTTCCCGTGCTTGGCGAGGCGCGCGCTTGCATGCGGAAAAACGCGTATGCAGATCGTTGGAGCGTGTCGCGCAGCTTATTTCCTGGAGAAAAATGATCCCGCCTCTATTTTACCGTTCTACTGGCATTATTCTTACGGTGAAATGTGTCGTAGAGGGTGGGAATATCAGTAGGGAAGAAATTGAGAAAAATGTTTTACATTTTTAACGTTATTGCGTTACTTACGACCGAAGTGGTGCCAGGATAGCGTTGCTCTTCGAGCATTGCTACGTGCCTGCTATGTAAAATTCAACGGTTTGCCCAATGCTTGTTTGTTAATACAAAATATAGATGTGTTTTGTGACACTGATGTGGGATCGGAGCCTTCGTGCCTATTTAGGGTTGCCATCCGTTTGGATTTCCCCGGATTTGTCTTAGTTTTTAAGGCGAGGGGGATTTTTTGTAGTGTTCTGGGTTTTCCAATTTTCGTTTGCTGTCCGCACCGTTAGCTCCTACTGATCGTTCGTGTTATCATATTA